GGTGTACAGGACACAAACATTCACATTAAATGGGCATAGCTCACGAGTATGAGTAATTACAAGAAAATTGCTCGTAATATGGATAAGTTTCTAATCCAGTTTGGTTAAGAGTGGTGAGAAAACAGCAGACAGTGGAAATAGGAATGATTAAACTGCAAAATCCTTTTTGAATTGAGTTTGAAAACAACACCTTTATTAATATAAGAATTGTATTAAGAAATAGTGTTAAGTATTAAAGGAATAAAAAGATGTTTTGCTTTCTCATTAAGAACTTTTTATGTCACAGTTGAACAAACAGAATATTTGAAAAAAAAAATGTATATACTGTGGTATTTTCATATTGTACATACATACAATTACAGTAGTTACGTTATATGGAGTTGGGACAGTTGAAATCTTAAATGTTACTAAATGGCCATTGGGTGGTGCTGTTGCATTTATACCCACAGCAAAATCCTGACAGCTCTTTGGAGCCAAACTTAGACAGAGACTGATTTAATAACAGCACACACAGACCGCTTTGAAATGAATCTTACAAAATTATTTTAAGTGATTTATAAAATATCACCCAGATTTTCAACTCAACTTTTTTTCCGATAATAACTTAAAACTTTGCCTGCCATATTTGGTAACTTATAAATCTTAAAGTTATACCATTTTAAAATGAAGTTCTGTTGATAAGAAGAGCCCTTGGCCACATGACCTCTGTCAGGAGCGTTGCCTATGCCAGCGTGTGCCATTGCTGAACTGCTCAGGTAGGTACAATCAGTGCCAAACACTGTCTCTCTATTTCATTACCTTAACATGTATTAATAAGGGGAAAACTAAAATGTGATTTGAGTGTGATGTAAGCTATATCACTGTTGATTGGTAAAGTTTTGGGAAAGAGTTGGTATGTAAAAAATAATAATAAAAACTCGTAAAACTCATTATATAAATTATGTAAAAATAAAAAGGATTCATCGTACAGTATGTCATAACACGTGACAGTATAGTATGTCATATAAAAAATATGACAAAAAATGTGATACCATAGCATGCCATCAAAACAGTCATAGTATAGTATGTGATAACAAAAATCAGAGTATATTATGTCATAAAAAGTCATAATATAGTAAGTAATTAACAAGTCATAGCATAGTATGTCAAAAAAGCCACAGTATAGTATGTATTCAATAAGTCATAGTATAGTATTTTTTGGACTTTTTTATGACTTACTAAACTATGACTTTTTTGACATACTATCCTATGACTATACTGCGACTCTTTTGTCACATACTGTACTATAGTACGACTTTATTTTATCAAATACCATACAATGGCTTTAAAAAAAAAAAACTATACTATGACTTTTTTTTATCACATACTACAATGTGCTTTTCTTATTACATACTATACCATGCCTTTTTTGACATACTATACTATGACTTTTTTATCACATATTATACTTTGATTTTTTATCACATACTATACTGCGACTTTTTTGTCACATACTGTACTATAGTACAACTTTATTTTATTAAATACCATACAATGACTTTAAAAAAAAAAAAAACTATACTATGACTTTTTTTTATCACAAAGTAACATGTGCTTTTCTTATCACATACTATACTATGACTTTTTTGTAACATAAAATAGTATGACTTATTTTTGACATACCATACTTTGACTTTTTCATCACATACTATACATGACTTTTTTGTAAGATAATACAGTATGACTTTTTTGACATACTACACAATGACTTTTTTTGTTGCACACTATGCCATGACTTTTTTGACATACTATACTATGACTTATTTTTTCCATACCATACTATGACTTTTTTTCATCACACACTATACTATGACGTTTTTTTATTACATACTATACCATGGCTTTTTTGACATACAATACTAGAACTTTTTTTGACATAGTACACTGTAACATTTTTATCATCGACTATACCATGAATTTTTTGACAAACTATACTATGACTTTTTTCACATACTATACGATGACTTTTTTAACATACTATACTATTTATTTTTCATTAAACTATACTATGACTTTTTTTTATCACATAATATATTATGACATTTTTCTCACATACTATACTATGACTTTTTTACATACTATACTATGACTTTTGTTGACATACTATACTATGACATTTTTTTATCACATGCTATATTATGACTTTTTTTATTTCGTTTAACACAATGACTTGTTTTTTATCACATACTATATGATGGTATTTTTTTCACATACTATACTATGACTGTCTTTGACATACAATACTATGACTTTTTTGTAAAACTAAATTATAACTTTTTTATCACATATACAATGACTTTTTGACATACAATACAATAATGATATTTTCTTTTCACATACATTATTATTACTTTTTTATTACATCTTATACAATGACTTTTTATGACATAATATACTATGACTTTTTCATCACATTATACTATGACTTTTTTGACAAACTATACAATTATTTTTTAACATACTATACTATGATGTTTTTTGGACATACTTTATTATGACTTTTTTATCATTACTATACTGTGATGTTTTTATCACGTACTATACTATGACTTTTTCTTATCACATACGATATGATGACTTTTTTGACATACTACACTATGACTTTTTTGTAATATGTTATAGCCTACTATACCTTTTTAAACATACCACACAGTATTTTTTTTAATCACATGCTATACTATGCCTTTTTTATGACATATTTATGACTTTTTTTAAACATCACATACTATACAATGACTATTTTTCCCACATACTATACTATGACGTTTTTGACATGCTATACTATGACTGTTTTTGACATAATATACAATGACTTTTTTGTAACATACTATAGTAAGACTTTCTTCACATACTATACTGTCAGTTTTTTATTACATAGTATACAATGACTTTTTTATGAAATAGTATACTATGACTTTTTTGTAACATACTACACTATAACTTTTTTCACAAACCATATTTTTGACATACTATATATGGCTTTTTTGTAACACACTATAATATGACTTTTTTCAGACATACTATACAATCACTTTTTTTAATCACAAACTATACTATGACTTTCTTAACATGTTATACTATGCCTTTTTAACATACCATACCATAGGATTTTTGACACATTATAGAGTGTTTTTCTTTTATGAAATTCTAAACTATGACTTTTTTAACAAACTATACTATGACTTTTTTTTATCATATACTATGCCATAACTTTTTTATGGGATAATATTCAGTGACTTTTTGACAAACTATCCTATGACTTTTATTCTATACTATTCTTTAACTTTTTGACATACTATACTATGCCTTTATTATGACATACTATGACTTTTTTAAAACATACTATACTTTCACTTTTTAACATACCATACTATCACTTTTTATCACATAATATACTGTGACTTTTTAACCACACACTGTACTTTACCTTATTTGACAAACTATACTATGAGGCTTTTTTTCCACATACCATACTGAGACATTTTTTATCACATACTATACTATGATGTTTTTATCATATACTATACTGTGACTTTTATAAAAAGAAAAAAACATACTATGACTTTTTTGTCATACTTAATATAAAATATCATCAAAGGCATAGTATAACATGATAAATAAATAGCATAGTATGTGATAAAAAAAAGTCATGGTATATGTCAAACAACGTGTAAGATAGTATGTGATAAAAAAAAAGTCAGAGTTTAGTATGTCATTAAAAAAACGTCAGAATAAAGCATGTAATGAAAAAAGTCATAGTATTGTCTGTCGTCCAAAATCATGAAAAAAATGTCATAGTATAGCATGTCGTCCAAAATCATGAAAAAAATGTCATAGCATAGTATGACGTCCAAAATCATGAAAAAAAGTCATAGTATAGTATGACGTCCAAAATCATGAAAAAAAGTCACAGTATAGTACGTCGTCCAAAATCATGAAAAAAAGTCATAGCATAGTATGACGTCCAAAATCATGAAAAAAAGTCATAGTATAGTACGTCATCCAAAATCATGAAAAAAAGTCATAGTATAGCATGTCGTCCAAAATCATGAAAAAACGTCATAGTATAGCATGTCGTCCAAAATCATGAAAAAATGTCATAGTATGATATGTCGTTAAAAATCATGAAAAAATGTCATTGTATATTATGTCGTTAAAAATCATGAAAAACGTCATAGTATAACATGTCGTTAAATATCATGGAAAAAAACATCATAGTATACTATGTCATTAAAAATCATGATAAAAAGTCATAGTATAGCATGTCTTTAAAAATTATGAAAAAAACATCATAGTATAGTATGTCGTCCAAAATCATGAAAAAAAGTCATAGTATAGCATGTCGTTAAAAATTATGAAAAATGTCATATCATCCAAAAACATAAAAAATGTCATAGTATAGTATTTGAAATAAAAGTCATAGTATAGTATGGTGTAAAAAGTCACAGTATAATGTAATAAAAAAGTCATAGTATAGTATGTCATAAAAAAAATTTATACTATAGTTTGCCACAAAAGTCATATTACAGTATATGATAAAGTCACAGTATAGTTTGTCAAATAAATTTCATAGTATAGCATGTAATAACAAAAGTCATAGTGTAATATGTGATGAAGTCATAGTATAGTATATCAAAAAAGTCACAGTATATTACGTCATAAAATACTCATAATATAGTATGTGATAAAAAATGTCATGGTATAGTACTTCATGGTTTAGTATGTCAAGTCATGGTTTAGTTTATCAGGCATAAAAAGGCACAAAAATCTCATTAAAAAAGGCATAGTATTGTGTCTTGTCTCAAAAAAAGTTGATAAAGAAGTCATAGTGTGTGCACTTCTCCTGTGCCGCCCTCAAATACACTGGCTCCCTTAAATGGCACTCAGTCATCACAATCTTGAGGATTCAGCCTGTCTAAATGACAACCACACAAATTCAATAACCACTTCACAACATAAACTGCATTTATAAAATTTATTTATATAGATATATTCATCTATACAGTTATGTATGTATGATAGTATGTATATATTTATATAGAAATCTACGCATACTGCAATCCTTTCACAGAGGAGAACAGAACCACATGTCAGCAATGTTAACACAATGACAGAAGCTCTGGATATTCAAAGGCCAGACATTCTGAATTCATCGACAGGGAACAAAAAAAAGATGGCATCGCAGAATATCTGAACATCAGCAACTCAGCTGTCACCTCGACTCAGCTTATTTCTTTACATTACAATCACTTCAGTGACATTACAATCAATATTTTATGTGGAACAGTCCTACATAGTCAGTTTAACTACACTCAGCTAAAGTCTGTACAGATTTGTAAAACACAAATGTTGATTCAAGCAAGTAAGATTTGCTGGTGACTGCGAGTTGACGTTTCTCTACCGCCCAGGGTCCAACAGCAACTCGTCTGAGTCGACTGCTTGGCGGGTAGAGAAAGTCAACGTGACCTGGGGCACACAGGACAGCAGACACCAGGATTTTAGAAATACCTTTTTTTCTTGAGGAGAAAAACATAAGGGAAAAAGTGTCTCCACTGGTTCAGCATTTCTCAGTTTCCACTGACTAGAAATCAGCATGCAATCGAGTGACACTGGTGCATTCGATTTGTCACAATGCCCAAATAATTTAGAAAAAAATGACACGCAACTGACAAATACAGCTTTCCACGACTGCATGAAAAGCCTGAAACAAGCCTTCGTTTGCTTCCCTAATTCATTCAAATTAAACAACATTCTCTTATTTCGCTGGGACTCGTAGCAGCTTCACGTCCACATTCCTCTCATTGTCGTCTGCTTTTTTTTTTTCTTTGTAGATTTTTAAAGAGAATTCTAACTCTGTCAGTTTTTCACTTTCAGTGTCTGGGAAATTTCTAACTCTATAACTTCCCCTTTACCACATGAGCACCTTTTCAAATTAATGGTGCCACTGAGAAGCATTCGCAAGTTTCTCGACTCCTCTCTATACAGCTAAAAATCAAAAAGCAGTCACATATTGCACTATGAATGCAAAAATACCAGTCTACACTATACAGAAAAGTGCTTCTAATGTTTGTACAGTTGCAAACATACAGTATGCTACACACAAACACAAGAAACATATACATCAATCAGTGTGTCTGTATGTATGCATCACCATCACACAGGCAGTTACGCCCTACAGTACAGTACAAGAACATTTTATGGTCTTCTTCCCCTTTTAAATGTCAAGGATTGATCTTTAGTTCAATTTATAGACTGAAGGAACAGAGCCCACAGTCTCACAGGAGAAGTATGGAGGTGCAGGTGTGGTTTTTGTTGGGAGGTGAGGCGGAGCCGATGGTCCGTGTGGCCCTCCAGGTGCCGGTCACAGGCCGGTATAGTTTGTGTCGGGGCGTCAAGTACTGGAGGAAACTTCAGGAATGGACCTTGAAGGCCAGCAGCTCCTCAGAGTGCATGTTGTTGAGCGAGCGAAGGTCAGGCAGTTTGAGCAGCAGCTTGGTGAAGATGGCCGACTCATTGGGGTGGTTCTTGGTGATGAGGCTTCGCAAGGCGCGGATCAGCGTCTCCTGAAGGGCCTCCACCGAGTTCACGTTCTCGATGCCTGAGCGATCTGGGATGAATGGACAGTGACAGTGTTATGCATCTATTTGTCATCATTAGTCAGGTTTGAATAAAATGTTTTTAGTTTTGTTTTGTTGTTTTTTTTTTAAAAAAAAAGTTTGCTTATTCGGAATACGATAAAAAGATCGATATCCCCCCTGTACATTAGATAGAAATTTACAGCCAGCAGCCAGTTACCTAAGCTTATCAGCCAGACTGAATGCAGGGGGAAACTGCTAGCCTGTCAAACACTGTGTTCATTTGAGAGCGTTCATATGCTCAACGTTTGATACAGAGATTAAAATGGAAACAGAGACAGGGACGGACTGAGCCCTCTGGAGGCAGTGTAGCGTAGTTCAAGTGGGATACGACCACAAATACGATGAATACATTTAAATAATGCTGGAACAGTAATATACAATAATTAGGGTTGGGTCGGTATGAGAAAAAATAAACGGTCCGGTTTTTGTGAAAAACCGCATCAAGTCAGTAATACCAGATTTTCGCCACTTGGGGGCGCAATTGACTCATTTAAAATAAAAAACGATCATAGGACAACAGAGTGACAGTAACACGTTGTTTCTTTTATTCTTTACAAATAAATTTGCAGATTTAGCTTACTCAATCAGTGCAAACAAGGGCTGCCTCCTTCGTCTGGCTCAAAGCCAAAGTGTTGCCATGTTGGCGCATTCTTTGATTTCTTAGAGACTAAATTGTCCACCATTATCGACTCCCCGTCACTGTTAAACAAACTCCAGGCTACAGTAGAGGCCTAAGCGCAGGCGCACTCGCACCCCATAGCTCAGTCCCTGCCCCACCCCCACCCCCTCTCTCTCCTGTTCGCTATGCGCTTGGCGAAGAGGCAGACGCGGTGCTCACAGACTCGGGCGTACTATAAGCGGAGCGGACTCTGCGAAGAATGTCCGCAGTCATTCGGGCTTCCATAGCTGAGAGCACTTCCGCGTTGTAGTTTCCTGTAAAAATGCCCGTGAATGCCCGAATTGATATTACCGAGAACTGACCCAACCCTAATAATAATATACAGTAATATATAGTAAAAATAGTTTAAAAAAAATCTCCATCCATATATCAGAATGTATATAATGGCCATATAGACCATCGCCGTCTACAACGCTGCCTTCATTTAAAGGTACAGTATTACGATCTCCTTCACCGTTACCTTTTTTTGTTGCGTGAATTATTTTTATTCTGCCCTCTAGTGGCATTTATTGGCCACATCTATGCCATCATAAAGGGTGCATGAAAGCATGAGGGCGCTGATGTTTACAACGTTCGAAAGAGACGTGTTTATTTTCATATGTGGAGGCAGTATAAATGAGCCTTAAGGCCTTCACACAATTACTTGCACCTGAATTTAGTTTTTTCGACTGCTGTTTGTTGTCACGAGTACTTTCAGTCCGAGCACTAACACTGAAGTGAAAAAGCCACTTTAATTTTTCTAAATGAGGTCAATTCGTCTGAGATTTGGCACTGTGAATAAAGGCTTCAACCAATCACGTTGTGCCTATATTTCGCATTTTCACAATGTTTATTCGTCACCCTCCCGGAGTGTAAAGGCCTTTAGAGGTGCTGGTAGGTTGATCTTGTTACACTTGATCAGAGCTAGGCTTACTGTTTCCCCATTTCCATTCTTCATGCTAAGCTAAGCTAGCTGGCTGCTGGATCCAGCTCCATGTGGCACTTTGGTAGGACTTATTGCAAATCAGATTTATGTAACAAGTGACCATAAGCTGGCATTGCACTGCTTTACAGGGTCACTAGGTAAAAAGTTACTTCCCCAAGCTCTCGCATGAAGATTCCTACGCTGTGCAAAGCGACACACAGTGCCAGAGCTAATTTTTTGTTGCACTAATGTTAACGCCCAATAAAACATTTGCACATGCTCAAATTTTTGACCATCAACAGCTTTAGTTTACATGTAACAGTAAACATGTCTGTCTTATGTACATTAACATGACAACCAAAGCAAACTCACCTGCAGAGACCAGAACCACGGCAGTGAAGAGGCTCATCTCCTCCTCGCTGAGGCCCAGGTTGATGAGCTTCTCACTGAAGTCAAACATGGAGTTGAGGAGGTCCCCGGCCCCCATGGCCCTCAGAGTGTCCACGCTGTATTTCTTGCCGCCCAGGAAGGTGACGGTGCGGTCTTTCACATCGAAGAGAGAAGCAAAGCGAACCACCAAAACCTGCAGAGCGCAAACACCACCAGGTCAGTTTGGGTACAGCTGTTGTGACATCACAACGCGTAGGAAAACTGAGAATTAGAACGTACCTCAAAGGTGCCAGCCTTCAGCAGGCTGACCTGGTCGTGCTGGGACAAGTCTCTGAAGCCTGGGATCTTCTTGGCAAACTCCACCACCTCCCTGACAGCTGGGGTGAAGCTGTGGGAAAACTCCTCCCACACCTCGTGGCCAGACTTCTGAGGGTCCACGTAAGGAGAGGTGTTCATGGGACACACCTGAGGGTAGGACAGAGGAGAGATGGACAGAGGTCAGATGTTTTGCTGCCCCCAAGTGGCCAAAAAAAAAAATCAATTAACATTAAGTTTATGTTATTGTTTTAATTCCTTAATTAAAACAGACTGTGTGTGAAAGATGCTGCACCTTTTTTTATTTCTTTGTTTCTTACCAGATGCATCCTGTTGCCTCCTCTCCACAGGAGCCCGCTGTAGGCTCCACTCACGGGGCCCTCTGAGGACGGAGCTCCAAAAGCTCCGTGTGTGTAGGCTGGACAGTGGCTGGCAGCAGCACTCCTTGAGAGCCTGAAGGGGCAGTGGTTGGCGGTGTTCTCCTCCTCAGCCTGGGGGCCCAGGCTGGAGGGCGGGTCTTGTGCTACCATGGTGACCAGGTTGTTGTGGTGGTTCCAGGTGTCCTGCTGCTCCTCTGTCCGGAGGTTAGAGGTGTTTTTCGCTGAGCCACTGTTCGGGGTGCCCGTTGGGGGCGGGGTCTCGGCTGTCAGGCTGCTCTGCTCCTGGTTGTACATGAAGGTCTCCTGGTGGGCCCTGGTCACGGAGCCAATCACCTCCTCCTCACCACTGTCCGAGGAGCTGGGCGACGCCGAGCTGGGGCTGGTGTCCATGGCCACGGTGGGCTCAGGGTCGGGGCTGGATTCGGATTGGCTGGAGCACGGTGAGGGGGCTGCAGAGCTGGAGGGGGCGGGGCCGGTGTCCTCTGAGGTAGGTTCCGTGGCACTGGCCGGCAGAGGTTTGCTGATAGGTAGCGTCTGGCTGCTGTGCAGCTGGCTGTGCAACTGGCTGTTGTTCATCATGTTGTTCATGGCGCTCTGCATCTCCAGCAGCATGCGTTGTTTCTCACGCTTCGGGATTCGGCCAAAGCGCACAGCTGAGAGTGAGAAGAGAATAATGTCAGAAGGACTCACCTCTGTTATCTACAGTTTTACAAAAGTAAGGCAGGAATGAGTCATGTTATCCATCTTTATTCTCCAGAAATCCAACCTGTTGTCATGTGAAGCACATACAACATTACAAGCATCGTTTTTAAGTTATTAAAGGGGCACTTAGTCAATTTTTTTTTACACGAGGACCAGTTAACTACTCAGACTGTGAAAACATTTTGGAACGTATTTTCTTCTGTGGCTCAGGAAGAGTGTAGTCAAGTGTGAAAGAATATTCCTGATGATGTCATAGTGGCATCGTTAGCTGTAACTTCAATTTGAAATTGAGAGACGTTAAAGAAATGTATGGCATGTCTGCGTAATATGATAAGAAAGACACAGAACTCATCCTGGTAGAAATGTAACAAAAATTTGCTATTGAGTTGAATCATGGGAATCGTAGGACTTAATTGTGAGATTAAAAATCCAAATTGTCTGCTACATATATTTGGAAAACAGATTTTAAATCAGTCTCTCGTGAGTTCCTCTATTGCAATCCAGGAAGAATTTATTACTAAATAAATAAATGAAACTTTATGGCAGTGTGATACTAACTCCTTTAAATACAATGAGGTGTTTAGTAATTGTTAATAAAAAAAAGGTTGATTTAACTGAGAAAATTCTGACAGTATAAAGTTTGCCTGTTAATTCACATGAGTGACGCTGCTCTCAAGAGGCTGAAGGACAGTAGTTACTGCAGGTACTCACAGTCTCTGGACATGCCCACCATCAGGCATTTCTTGAAGCGGCACTGCTGGCAGCGGTTGCGGTTGATCCTCATGATGGGGCAGCTCTCGTTCTTAAGGCACTTCTTATACTGGATGTTCTGCTGGATGCTCCTCCTGAAGAAGCCCTGTGTGTTCACAAACACAAAGAGCACACTGTGATGACACATGAGACAGGGAGGAGAGGAACTGTGCGTGGACACATGTTGAATCTCAATAAAACTGTGTAACACAACAACATATCAGTCTAAACCATGTGTGTGTGTGTGTGTGTGTGTGTGTGTGTTACTACTGTGGTGTGTCACTGTGTGCTGCTCCCCACAGTTAACTAGGCCACACAGCAAAGTGAAGTAAGAGGGGCAGCTGATATAAATATGGGCAGAGTGAACTAGTTTCACCAAGTCTGCGGTTGTAGCTGTGCAGATGGCTGCGCCTGCAGTGACCCACTTCAGCAACAGCCCAAAGTCACTGCAACACTCATTACTATGTAGCTGGGAAAATAATTCCGTTTCTGTGTCGTGTGTGTGTGTGTGTCGGGGGAGGGAGCCCAGCCCCCGCCCTCACCTTGCAGCCCTCGCAGGCATGGACGCCATAGTGGAAACCAGACGCCACGTCGCCGCACACCTTACACAGCAGCACCAGGCCGTTGATTTCTGATTCAAAAATTAAAATATTCTTGAGATTCTGAACGTGTTGGCGTCTAACGTAATATTTCACATCACTACCAACCATTTTCCAAACTGTAATGAAAGGACCATCTTACTTGTGATGCCACATTTTGCAGTGGAGGAGGAGCGTCCACTTTTCTGAGTCCCTGGAAGGTTTTGGCCGCCGGCGGGGAGTGTGGTGTCGGCACGCTGCCCCAGCTGGTGGCGGCTGGGCGAGGAGCCGTGGGGCGGAGAGGACGACTGGTAGCTGCCATTGGAGGAGTCGCTGTGGCAGGACTCTGGGCTGGAGGCAGAGCTGGATGAGCTGATGTAGGCTATTACGCCTCCTGGTGTACATGAGAGAAAATGGGGCCATGATGACAGAGACAGCAGCAACACTGTGCAGAGATCTGTGCTGGAAAAGCCTGATATATTATGTTCCTCTGTGCCATAGAGCTCCATTGTTGTACATGTTCCTTCATTACCATGAACACACACATTGTAGTTTACTTTGACGTCATCACACAAACACCATCCTGCTCCCACAAATACTCAATAAAACGGTCTCTTAAATGGGTGTACAGGTACCTTTAGGGACACTATGGAGTACTGCAGATGTAGTTTTTTAATGTTCATTTTAAAAATATCTGTCATGCATGATTCACAGAATAAATGTACTGTGATAAGCTCAATAAAAAAATGTAAATGTAAGTTGGTAACGGGTACAATATTTAAAAATGTTTGAGAGAGATTGCAATAGGCAAAAAGAAAGAAACGTGTATAAATCCGCTGCAGAAAATAGTCCCCAACATATCCACCATTTCCTCCTATTTGAGCAACGTTTAATTAAAACTACAGTGCCCAGGTGTTTCAGGAAATTACTGAGCAATTCTTAAAAATAAATATTTGTTGCTGTCAAAAGGAACCAGACGGCTTAATGCTGCCACTGACAGCAGGTCAAAAGCACTGAGAGTTTTTGTGGAATTTGTTGACAATAAGAATGTAAAATAACATCAGCATTACACTTAAATTACACTTTAATTTTCTGTAACAAAATCACTGTTAATCTCCATTTTTTTGTGCTTTGTTGTTTCAGCACAAAATTTCCTACTAATCATCAGTCTATTAAATGCTGTCTCCAACATAGAGACATCTTAATTGTTTAATTTTCTGCTGATGATATCCAAGTTTCTATAGGTGGCGCTTTTCTCTTTGTCTGTTCTGTCATGTTCATGCCAACTCCCTGCTGCTTCCTCTCCCTCAAACGAAACGTACCGTAACTGTGACTATCACCGGCTCCTGGCATTTTTGCCGTGGAACCGACGGGCTTAACATAAAGAGGACAGATCATACTACGACAACAGCGTCCTCAGCCAGTAGGAGCCGAGCAGACAGGCTGCTGCTGTCGCTGAGCCGGTTTTCCCCCCTCGACATAGGCTGACCTGATTTCTTCCCCTGCCATTCTCAATGATTAGGTAACAGCCATTACATAATGTCAGCTTCACTAGGGTGTGTGGTAGGTAGTCTGGCCCATCCCTGCAGCCATTCACAGAGACGGGCTCCATCACAGACGGCGTCCTAAATGGGTCGAATTTATTTAACCTGACCAAACATGTAGTGATGTTAGCGGAGTGATATATTTGTGTTCCTTACATATTTAGGATTTTTTTTTTAGGATTTTCAGAAACATATTGACCATTAATAAACAGCAGTACTGACATAAACATGGAATGGGATTTTTTTTTAATTTATTTTTTATTATACTACATATTATCTTGCACAGAAAATTGGACTGACATATTTAAAAATACATATTATTTATTTTGAGTGTTTGGTAAAGTGAAGCATTCGGAAACCCTGGAAAGCACAACTTCCAAACTTCCTGTTTTGGATTAATTTATTCTATTCAAACGAGACAAAGGTGGGAAACTGAATCAAGAAAGAATATGCTGCATTTATGTACCATGCGAGATTACAACTGTTCGATACTGTCGAGTCAATGAGGAAACCTGTTGGCCTACTTTAACCAAATACTACGGAAAAAATGAGTCATTCTTGTAATGTCATTTATTTTGTAAGCAGCAGTCATAAAGTGATCTGTGCTGGTTTTTTTTAAAGGGATTTACCACGCACTTTTTTATTATTACTCTGAATTCACTGAATAAACAATGCCGACATGATAAAGCAGAATTTCCACATTATCATCACATGCTATCTGCCATTTCTGGAAATATGTTTCAACCACAGGCCCTGAATAACACCAAAAACACACAAAGAGCTCCTTGTGTCCCACGGGCCCTGAATGCACCATAACTACAGACTATTTTTCAACACGCCCCCACGTGGAGCGGCATGTTTTTTTCCCCGGGAAAACTGGGTCACCGCGGGTTGCTGCGAGATGCCTCACGTGTATCCGCGGCCAGACCCCACGCCATCTCGACGGGAGAAATTATGCAATGGCCACGTCACGGCGCCGCGCGGCCAATGAGCGGCGACGCACAGGGAGCGTAAACACAGGTGCACATGGCTAGAGCGACGGGTCCATGTGAGAGGAGACGACTGCAGTGCTGCTGAAGTCATCTACTTGGGTAATAACAACAGCCCACTGGCACTCCTAACCCACTTTAATATTAACACAGCAGCACACTGTGCAGCCTTTAATAATTTAAAGTGTTCGTCTGAATATGACACAGGAAGCTGTCCAAAATGTCACACCTCACACCGCTCGTGCTACTTTTACAAAACCCACTTTCCCCTGGATGTAATGGCAGAACATGAACACAGCTTTAAACAGACTCCATCAAGCTGCAGCAGCTGACATTATAATTAAAGTTAAACACACTCACCAGCTTTGGTCGACTCCATATGTGTGAGTTGTGGGGGTTTTCCTCCTCCTATGCTACCTCAGTGCTGAAGCCGTTTTTCTGTTTGTGTTCAGCAACTGAAAAGTCGCTGATTGCTCCCGGTTGAGAAACTAGCTCGAGCTACAACATTTAAATCACCGACACTTAAACCTTAAACAGAAACACGTCAGTGACTCTGAGAGGAGCGAAGATACAAAATTACACCGTCAAAAATCAAGTTTAACGAGCTCAGTTTTCCTTTTTGTTCTGCCAAACGATGAAAACACAGCTGCTGTGTAAAATAGGCCGTATTCCATTCAGAGACAGTTCAGGAGGAAAAGCTGCGAGAGGCTCAACTCAGCGGTGTGGAGGACTGGTTTGGTTTTGCCGTGACTGTTTCGAGTCGAGTGTGAAACCATGTGACCCAGTTCATCGGCTCCTCCTTCCCTCCAGCCCTGCACTGGTGTCAATGTAACCCACTGACATACTTTCACCACTCAAAGTGAACAAAGACAATTGGCAAGTCGGCTCACATCCTGTCCAAAAATCCCCCCCAAAAGTTTCAGAGTGCTGTGGTAGAGATACGGTGCTGAACCACAGTTTGGTGCGGAGCCATATTTGTTTTTGGCAGTTTTATAAAAGGAGGCCAAAGGTTAACTCAAGAATGGGTGACAAGATATTTTACACGCTCTTCTAAACATTTGCTTTATGTATTTTACTGGCAATATACCTTATATATATTTATAGAAATATTTTCCCAGGGCAGTGCTTACTCAGTTTCTTTTTATATAAAGAATGGTACACCTTTTGTCAACTATTATTACTATATTAGTATCTAATATCATTATTGTTATTATTATTATTAAGTAATTCATCTAGTTATTTATTTTATTTAGAGATAAAAAGATAATTAAAAATGATTTAATTAACTTCTATAAATAACCACATCTTAAACACGACAGGAGAATGCTTCAGACTTAGAGTCGGCTCGGTAGCCACGCTAACAAACGAACCATGCTGTGCCACCATCCTTGTTCATTTTCTCAAACTTAACATTTCACGATAAAACTGTCACTTCCTGTTTATTTGTCACATACGTATGGTAGCCACGGAGGTCCACAATAAAAATTCACAGAGGTCAAAATATACAGGAAAAAAGTAACCTCACATATTTAACAACCTCTTCAACGTTACGCCGAAATATATTTCTCTCTGTATCGTAGCAAGTCATACCATCTGACAATAACATTAATTTATCACTGATAAATGGCGCTTGCAATTCCCAAAATTCTCCACATGGTTTTAACAGGCGGCTGAAAAATGAAGCCAACATGAAAGCGCCAAAAACCGCAGTTCCTCTAATGGCCACTTGAGGCTAGCTCCAAAAGCGAGTCAGTCCCCATAAACCCTGGTGTTAAAATACCAAACTTTACAGCAGAAATAAACACGTTTACAGCCTGGTGCAACAGTTTCTATAGCGAATATCTCTTCATGAGAACTGTACAGGGGTGGATTTTTTTTTTACAACTCACCTGTTTACATTTTATTAAGGCTTAAAATTCTGTGTAATTAAGGGCGGGGCTCCTGTGATTGGCAAGATGTCTGCGGATAGTGTCTTCAGGTCTCTCCAAGATGACGTTGGCCGAAGTGCTGAACACGAAGCTTCAGAATGGGAGTCAACAAACCAGTGGGTGATGTCATGGTAGCTACGACCATTATTTTTACAATCTATGGTTTTTAACCAATGGAATATTCTCATTCAATCTATATTTGTTTGCGTTTACCGTTTAAGAGGCTGACATTGTTTCACTGTGACCAAAGAACAGTTTGCTTTCTTGCTCGCAGCACACAAAAGAAAGGCACGCACCTGTATTAATGAGGCTGTCTAGTAGCAATCTAACAGCACTATAAGTTACATTTACATATTAAAGTAAGCACATTTAATTTAATAAGACTAATTTATTTAATCCACGGCATTGCTTAATTTAAACTGAGGATTATTTTAAATCTTTGGGTGGTGACGTCATAAAATATGACAGACGTTCAAAGCTTTATTCGAGAACCTCAGAAGCATCAAAAGTGTTAAAAAGACTAAACTGTATGTACACTCAAAGACAGAAATATGTACAGTTGCAATCAGAAGTATTCAATGCCCTTATCTCAAAAGACATTATAGTGATGTTGATGAAAGCTTCAGTACTTTGGCACATTCTTTAGCTTTTACAACTTCTAATAAACGTTTTCAGTTAGTGCTGACAAGCTTCTTACACCTCTAGATCGGAATCTTTGCCCATTCGTGATGTTCTACGGCTTCCATGCTACATCTGCCATCTTTAAATCCCACCAAAGATTTTCAATTGGATTTAAATCTGGTGACTGAGAAGACCACTCCAGGAAGTTCCAGGATCTTTTCCTCAACTAAGCTCTGGTTGACTTGGAGGTGTGCTTGGGATCATTGTCTTGCTGGAAACTCCAATGTCACCAAGGTTTAATGCGTCAACAGAAGGCGTCACGTTCCTCTTTAGAATGGCCTGGTGTTTCTGGGAATACATGATGCCAGGTACATGATCAAGATTGCCAGTTCCTGCTGCAGAAAAACAGCCCCACATCATCAATGACCCACCTCCATGCTCGACTGTGCGGATGGTATTCTTCTGGTCATAAGCCTGGTCTTTCGCAAGGCAGACATACCACTGGTCCAGATGTCCAAACAGTTCCAGTTTGATTTCATCAGTCCATAGAGCTGTCTCCCAAAACTCTGTAGTCTTATCCAAATTCCTCCTGGCATATTCAAGTCGACTTTTGATGTTCCTTGTGGTCAGGGGTGGAGTGCGTCTTGGAGTCCGGCCACGAAGTCCTTGTTTATTCAGTGCACGTCTTATAAACTACGCACAAAAAGTAAGGAAAGTTGTGTTTGCTAGATTATTTCTTTGTTGTAACAATGCCTCTTGGCAATAAATCTTATACTGTTGGAAAGCCTGTTTATTTCCCTTTTCAATGGTGCCACATTTGTAAGGAACATGCATTTGTGGGACGAGCAGCAGAGCTGAGTATTCTTCAACCAGCATTTGTCGCAAGTCAGCCAACGTGGTTGTGTTGGTCACTCTGGCACAGGCAAGAGTTCGGTCCCAGACTGTGGCTAGAATGGGATGCCATTCCAGAGCAGTGTGTGACCAGGCTGGTAACCAGCATGAGGAGGAGGTGCCAGGCTGTTGTGGCTGTGTATGGTTCTTATATACGCTACTGAGGCTCCTGTTTGTTAAATGAGTAAATTGTTAAATTGCCAATATGTCTTGTTTCTTCAGACTTCAATCATCCAATCCACCAAACAAGAGTCAACAGCAAAAAAAAGCTGTTTGGCATTGGCAGAGAAGATTTGGCAAATTTTTCAAGGGCGCAACCCACGTACTCAGCTCTGCTGCTCATCCCACAAATGCATGTTCCTTACAAATGTGGCACCATTTAAAAGGGAAATAAACAGGCTTTCCAATGGTATAAGATTTATTGCTAAGAGGCATTGTTACAACACAAAAATAATAATAGCAAACACAAATGTCCTTACTTTTTGTGCTTAGTTTAGTTGCCACTGAAGCACCTGTACCAGCCTTCATCAGGTCATCCAGTAGGTGTGTTGCAGTCACACAGGGTTTCTCTTAGTTGTTCTGAGTTGCTAAGGGCCCTTGATGAAATGTTGAATAATTGTGACATTGCTATCTTAACAAAATATACTTTTAAAATCTTTGGGGGGTTGAATATTTCTGATTGCAACTGTAGGCACATTCTTTTGGTCAGATTTATGACACTGTGCTTTCGCCTGTTTCTGTTTCACTGTTCTTTGTGGAACTGGGCACATATGTGCAAGCCTCATTACCACTCCCTCAGTCAGGACATAGATGCTCCCTGAATAACTTGTTTGTGTCATATGAGAAGAACAGCAAAGAAGTGCAATTTCACTGATTGTGTCGCATTATGGAGATCCACAAAGCTGTGACTATTTATAGCACCCGTACCAACAATTCAGTACATGTACCCGTAAACCCTATTGAGACAGACTTAAATTGTGTCTGTCTCAAATTGTGACTTATAAATTGTGTGTGTAAGGTGCTTGTATTCTCTTTAGATGGGTTGAGGCATCAGGAAGTGATTTCCTTTTTTGTTTTTGGCTTAAAGGAAGGTAGCCTGAGATTTTGGGGAGACCAGGGTAGAGTCTTTTTTTTTGTCCTTCCCTGCAATTATATTTTATTTCCTCTCTGTAATTTATCACATATAAAAAAAGATCAAAATGTCTCAGCGAGCTGGCTTCTATGTGCTCTGTTGATGTGTGTTTAACCATATGAAGGAAACAACAGTCCTGCTTCTGTAGAGGTTTATTTTCTTCATCACATTTTATAAAACGCACCAAGTGACTGTGCGCTTTCATTCAGTCGTTCCTTTATTCTTAATTGCAACACAGTCCACAACTGCAATAAAGATAAGTGTCATAAAAGTGTATGATGCAAGTTCAACTTCACGTTGCCAAATATTTTTTCTTTCTGTCAAGCCTACAATTAATGTCTGTACAGTTAGAATCACAAGAACTGCACTGTCACGAGAATGACCACATTGAAATTTTGTTTAGCTTTCTCTCTGAACACAATTTAAAGGGACAGTCCTCCAAACAATCGGACAGAGACCTTCTTGAAGAGGTGGTCTCGGTCCAGTTACAAAGGAACTCTGGTGCGGTTGGTTTGTGGTGAGAAGGTGTTCCAACCTGGATGTGAACCAACTGCAGTCACATGACACATTGTTTGGGTTAAACATGAGCACGTTACAGTCCTGGAGGATTATTAATGTGCACCTCCTCCTGTACTGCCTTAATATGCACATTCAGCACATCCAATGCATCAAAACAATGTTTTCTAGTTGGAGCCGCGCCTCGTTTTCAAACTGTATGGTTTGACTAAAATGAACAATGACAGCAATATAGTCCACGATGAGCAGTGCTAAAATCAACCTGCGTAGCTGTCCCTCCACTGTGACATTAGAAAGTGTCACATTTATCAACGTTTGCTTTACTACCTGGAATTCTGACCAATCAAGAGCAGCTGTCTTGCGCAAGGCATTTGATCTGGTCCACTTGCAAATGCTGCCGTGAGAACA